CAACAGTGGAACCATGCAATATTTGTCCTTTTGTGACTGAGATATTTCACTCAGCATAATGTTCTCCAGAGTCAACCATTTTGAATAATATTGCATGAGATCCTTGTTTTTCAATGCAGCATTGTATTCCATTGTGTGAATATACCACAGCTTCTCTATCCATTCATTTGTTGATGGACACTTAGGTTGCTTCCAACTCCTTGCTATTGTGAACAAAGCTGCAATAAACATGGGTGTGCATATATTATCTGCTTGGATGTCAGTTATGTTCTCTTCAGGGTATATTCCCTGTAGTGGAATTGCTGGGTCAAATGGTATCTCTATTTGCAACTTTTTGAGAAAGCACCATACCACTTTCCACAGGGGTTGCACCATTTTATACTCCCACTAAAAGTGAATAAGGGTTCCAGTTTCTCCACAACGTCGCCAGTATTTGTTGCTTGCTGTTCTGTTAAATTTTGTTATTTTGACTGGGGTGAGATGATATCTTACAGTTGTTGACAAAAGACAATTTAAATAAATTTAAAATCTAATGGATTTTTTACAACAGCCCTAAACATGGCTGTTGTACATAGGGTCTCTATGAGTCACAAGTGACTCGACGGTACATAACAACAACAATGGATTTTTAAATAGAAGGCCCTATCACAGATGCCTCACTTCCCTTAGTGAATCAACACGCCACCCTACAGTTCACACATTGCAGCCAATGGCTTCTGTAGAACCAGTGAGGCCTAATGCGGCTAATATCCTGCTTGCTTTGAGCTCAATTTGACTTATTAAGGGATGAAAGTTATGTAATGCTAAATTTTGTAATACTTGCGAGGGTGGGTTTGGAAATCTGGGGCCCTGATGATATCCCACCTTTGTTAACTGGAATAAAAGTGCCTTCTCCTCCTGGGCCTTAATGACTCAAGTCAGTCTGGTCCTGCTATAGCCCAGGGCATTGCTTTACTAAGTTAACTCCTTAATAAAATTCCTATATTACTATCATGGAGTGGCCAGCCTCCTTATTTGGTCTCTCAACACTTAAAGGTAAATTACAAGTTACTAGTCCAAAGTTGTGCCCCAAAACACAGTTTTTGCTCTTTAAGAACATTCTGATTGTATTTCTTCTAAAACTGGTTTCCTCGTACTTTCAGCAGTCCACTGTACTTTCAGTATTTCTTGCCAACGCTACTGTTTGACTTCTTCTGACTTCCTTTTGCATTTATCTGACTTTTCCACATTATATGATGTTTGAAAAGACTATAGTTTGAGTCAAACATAACTTGAGTTATAAAAGTGCCATGGTAGTGATGAGATAGATATGTTGTTGTTATGTATCATCAAGTACATAACATCCAGTTGGAACTGACTCATAGTTGACCCTCTAGTGGGTTTTCAGAGACAGAGACAGAGACAAAGACAGAGACAGAGACTGCATACTCTTCTTCCACGAGCTGCTGGTGGATTCGAACTGTGTGCTTTCGGGTTGTTGTTGTTATATGCTGTCGAGTCGCTTGAGACTCACAGCGACCCTTTGTACAACAGCCCTAAACTCTGCTCTGTCCTGTGCCAATCGCACTGTCTCTGACACTCCCATCCCGATTATCTCAGGCACTGAATCAATCCACGTCAGAGAGGGCCTTCCCCTCCTGCGCTGTCCCTCTACTCTCCCAAGCATGATGTCCTTCTCCAAGGACCGGTCTCTCCTCACAACATGTCCAAAGTATGTTATATGGAGCCTCAGAAATGAAATGCTTTTGGGTAGCTGTTACAATACATCAAAAGAAGAGAGGTACAAAATATTCAGACTAAATAGTAATTTTCACTTACTTTGGGCGTGTCAGAATATCCAGTCCGTGGAAGATAGATGAGAAGGTTAGAAGCATGAAGGCTTATTGAAGATGAAGTCCCTTTTAGAGGGATTTAATTGACACGGTGACTATAACAATGGGCCTTGGCCCAGTTAAGGTTGTGAGAAGACACAAGAACAGGCAAACTTTCCATGCGTTGTCTGTACGATTGCTGTGAGTTGCAGTGGTCTTGGCTGTACCTAACAACAGAAGGTTGTTTTAATGGACCCTTCCCCAAAAATAGATCTAGAATTGAAAAGGTTGTCAAGAAAAAGGAGTTATTCCTACTGAAATATCTCGTAAGTGAGACAACTTATCCCTATTTTTTTGTTGTTTGTATGTTGTGAGTCAGTAACCTCATATTAATTAATGGAATGCCTATTCCAGGTGTGAGGAAGGCTTTTCAGAAAAAGACAATGTTTCATGGGTAGACATCAGAGTTGAAGCAAATGATGAGCAAAATGTTTGCTAAATACAACTAGAATACATGTCTCCTGCAGCAAATAAAAAACAAAACAAAAAAACACATTTAGATTTGCTAAACAATCTATCAGAATACTTTCCTTGACATGAATGATATTACAGATGCTAATGCTACTCTCACATTTTTTAGGATGAAAATTGGTATCTTTACTTTAACATGGACTGAGCTGTGCTCATTATTCTCCGCACAAAACCTCTGGCAATAATTTACCTAGCAGCACAGTAGTTCATGTAGATCAAAGCTGCATTATTTAAGTGTGTCCAGGGGGCAAGTTTTAGCTCTGTGCCTTATACTTTAAAGGAAAAAAAAGGTTTATTTCTTGAGAGAGAAAATGTGTTTAAATTCATGCTAGTCCTGCAATATTTAGACTCATGGGAATTTCTACCATATCTGAGAATAACCCCCTTTCCACCCCCTACAATCTACAATCTGGAGGGACTATTAAACAACTGTGGGAAAGCCCATCTCTTCAAACGAACAGCAGTATATTTTCATTTAAATTAATCCCGAATGTGAGTTAGATTCCAGGAAGGAAAGGGCAGAAGAGAGACAGTTTGTAGTTGCTATAGAATGTGCCTGGCTGCTTTGGCTCACAGACAAGTGATGAAGTCCTAACTCTGAAATTTCAGGCAATTTGTATACCAAGCTCCTCCTTTCCTACAGCCTTCTCTTCCATTGGTAAAATTCTTTTGCAGGGTCATGTAGGGATCCCACCCCTTCCCTGTGTTTTCACTCTGAAGCTCTCCACAACTTTACACCTGAATGAATGCCAAACCTCTGAGGATATATAAAGGGAACCTAGGGCAGGAATTCCACAGTTACAGTGCTGAAGCAGAAGGGAAAGAATTAACCAGCCCTTCAGCCAAGCAAATCCTCTACTCACCATGCTTCCTCCAGCCATTCATTTCTATCTCATTCCCCTTGCATGCATCCTAATGAAAAGCTGTTTGGCTTTTAAAAATGATGCCACAGAAATCCTTTATTCACATGTGGTTAAACCTGTTCCAGCAAACCCCAGCAGCAACAGCACGTTGAATCAAGCCAGAAATGGAGGCAGGCATTTCAGTAACACTGGACTGGATCGGAACAGTAAGTGTGTTTTACTTGTTTGATATTCTCCCCTTTTATGTAATTGGTAGCATTAACAGTTCACATAGAACTGTTTCATTACTAACTATCCTGAACCGTATATATATTTTGCTAAACAATCTGGGAGTAATCTGCTGCATGTGTAGATTGGCATTCTTCCTGGGTAGTGATTTTAAAGTTAACATGACCACAAAAGTGATTTGATAATGCAGCCATGGACTTAAGCTTATCTCAAACCTCTAAAACAAATATTCCCAGGAGTTGAACTGTTGCTTCTCTATAGTCTTGCAGAATTAGAATTTTTAAACATGTTATTCAGAATAGGATAATTTTGGCATGTCTTCTCAGATTGTTTTAGTACATGTGTGATTTGGGGGAAAATGTGTAAAGGTAAGTAAAAGTAGGGGGAGAAAAGCAGAGTCCAAATGAATACTTTGTAGGAACCAGAAGAGAAATTGCTCATTTCTAAAATATATCTAACACAATCGTTAAAAGTTTTGATGATCAATGTAAAAAAGACTTAAAAGTGATAAATATTGAAGGATTCTTTCTTTCTAAGATAATTTCTTCATAATCAGTTCAAAATTTAGGTAATTGTATTTTACTGTGAAAGAGAGAGGGACATTTTATAAACCAGGAGATAAAAAAATAAAAATAACAGCACAAGAATGTTTGTGTAGGAAGATTCTCCCCTTTCTATTTGCTTAATTGACAAACTTACGATCCTCAAATTAGTGGGATTCTGATTTCTGCTCCTAACTTTGCTTCATGGCTTGCCATTAGAGAATTGCATGTTAATAATAACGTTTAAAGAGGGATGGGGAGAAGGAGTGTTCAGGAAATCTTACACAGATCTTCTTGCTCCTCCTCCTCGACTCTCTTCAACAAGTAAAAGCAGCTTTGACCTTTGAAAAGTCAAAGCAAATATAACTGACTGTGTCTTTCTAAGAAAACCAAGATGTTTGAGCTTTCACAAAGTTGGTTGCTTTTAGAAGTACACAGGAAATATTTGATTAACTTTAGATTACTGAGCAGTGCGGTAGGTATTCATTGTCAGTGAACTGTCACTACAGAAATGCTGAGTCTCTGCACACACTGGAACAAAAAGCTAGACAAGTTTGGATCATCCCTGGCTGCTCCAGGTAACGCAGCTGCAGGAAGGGAACTGGATTTGGAATCAGGCAGGGCACACTGGCTGGGCTACTAGCTTACCTTTGAATTTTAATCTAACAGCTCTCTATGTGATATATGCAAGTATATATATATGTGTGTTTCATAACTACCATATTCCTGTAAGTCTAACTCTCCTACCTGAAAAATAGTGGGCAAAGAGAAAAAGCAAAACTACTAGTTCAACCACCACCTTCATTTAGCTTTCAGTATTCTAAGACCTCCGTAATATCCCTCATAATTTCCCTTGCTTTAAACCAACAGCCTAGACTTTTGAACTTTTCTTTCACCCTTTCTGTTTAACTAGTCTTGATTTCTTTTCAAGCCTGTAACAAGCAATTTTCTTCAAGTTTAGATAACAGAATGGCTAAGGACAACTTCAAATGTCTCAAGATTAACTTTTGCTTCCATTACATAAGACATGTCACAAGAAACAATTAGAGAACATACTTATCTAATCCAAATAACTAAACAAGTTTACCGTGAACAACAGTCAGGAAATGAGCACCGTAGTTCCTTTTGCAGTTGTAAATCAGACATGTTAGGCATTTCTCTGCCGTAAAATTCATGGAATTATAGCCAAGTTGTTATGGAAACCATACGTTCCTGATTTAGGAGCTTTTATAATCTTTACATTGTGAGATTCAGTGTCATTTTGCATTTCAAACATTTTACTATTTTTTTTTAATGACAGCTTGAAAATGTATGTTTAAAATGTAGTTATTAAGTCTGAGATGCCAAATGTCAGGTCTTGTACATGTATGTATGAAGTGCTCTCTTGTAGCAGAATTCTATAATTGAAAGAAAATTTGCAGCATGCATGCATATGCACTGTACATGGTATTTAAATACTTTCCACATTTTCTCAGAAGATTAAAAAAAGGCTTATGAAAAGCATTTGCAGACATTAACAATATGACCCATAAGAACATTAAAGAGAATATTGAAGTGTGTTCTTTTTCTATTTAAAGTTTCTTATTAAATGTAAAGGATACATATTTACATATAAATACAAGAGCTGGTTAATCTTTACTAAGGCTTGAGACTGGAAGAATGAGATTTTAAAGTATTTCAGCAAGCAATTACCTAATGTCCTACCTGAAAATTAAAAAAAAAAAAAAGAAACATGTTTAGACTATTCCCAACCCACCAACCAGGAAAAGAATAGCCATATATACTGATAGAGTTCATTAAAAAGTGTCTCTACTACCATGCAGGAAATCTTGCAAAGTGAAAATGTAAAAGAGGCTTCCTTTCTACTTGTCAATTTGTTAGAATTTTAATCTTGTTTCTCATATAAGGTTATTTCAGAAAAGCTTCCATTTGCTTTTTCTGCCCCTGATGCACATTATTCTTTCTTATTTCTTGCAGCTCGGGTTCAAGTGGGCTGCCGGGAACTTCGTTCAACTAAGTACATCTCTGATGGTCAGTGCACCAGCATCAGCCCTCTGAAGGAGCTGGTGTGTGCAGGCGAGTGCTTGCCCCTGCCAGTGCTCCCCAACTGGATCGGGGGAGGCTATGGAACCAAGTACTGGAGCAGGAGGAGCTCCCAGGAGTGGAGGTGTGTCAATGACAAAACGCGCACCCAAAGGATCCAGCTTCAGTGCCAAGATGGCAGCACGCGCACCTACAAAATCACGGTGGTTACCGCCTGCAAGTGCAAGAGGTATACCAGGCAGCACAATGAGTCCAGCCACAACTTCAAGAGCGTGCCGCCTGCCAAGCCAGCCCAGCATCACCGAGAGCGCAAAAGGGCCAGCAAATCCAGCAAGCACAGCATGAGTTAGAACTCAGACTCCCAAAACTGGACTGACTAGTCACCATCTGCTTTACAGATTCTGATTGCTTGGACGACTCAAGCCTGCCATTGCTATTTTCTCACTTGAAAATGTATGCTTTCTGCTTTGATCAAACCCAGCGAGCTGTCCTAAGTATCAGGACTTTTTTTGGGAACAGTTTTTTTTTTTCTTTTCAAGTTTTGCAAGATGTACCTATATTTATGAGTGCAATTTGCATTTTAATCCCACACGTCCCGTTTTAATCCCCAGAGATACTTAAGAGGCTGATTATACTATATATAAATCATCAAACCAGTAAGATTTAAAACAGAAAAAGGACTGTCAGTTGCCCTCCACTTCCCAGATAACCCATATACACACTCAGACAAAAACCTTCGAAACGGAAATGTTTAGGGGAGAAATGTTGCCATGATTTTTCACAGTAACATTTCAGAAAGGTGCTTTTAGGGGTTAATTTCCATGAGAACAGGTTAGTGACCTCCCTTTGAATGAAAGTTAAAGACCATGTGACATGTCACTTCAAAAGCAAGCCCCGTAGCTTTTTCCAGTTTCATAGTATGAAATTATACCCTGCATGCTGACCCTCACTTGTAATGGAATGCCAGAAATGCATGGCAGCAGCTAATAAGTAAAGCTGATTATTTATTTGTCAATGTTATTTAATGAGCTTTCACATGTGATTTTTTTCCAAATGTTAATTTTTATGGTTTAAAGCTTTTTCATGTGCCTAAATATTTTCCTATATGATTTGTGATTGAGCTAGAAATAGGAAAACAGGTCTTGTAGATATGTAAAATAAATATTTTGGGCTCATTATTATACATGTTTCATCATGAGCTTTATCAATAAGATGGATTTTTTTAAAAAATGAGTAAGATGCTTTGTAAAACTGATGTATGTAGTGCTTTTTTGTTTAACCTGTGCAATCAGAAGGTGACTTAACCTTCAACTCCATCAATTTCTTAAACAAAAATAACACTGATAAAAGTTCTTTTCCTTGCTTCTAACAAGCATATATGGTACATGTGTGCAAAAATGCAGAATAAACTTACATGAGGAATTACTTTTCTCAAAAAGTTTCATTCAAAGGTTGGCAGAAATTTCTATAATAAGAGGATTAAAGAAAAAGGAAGATAATCTATTTAATAAATGGGATGAATGAAACAGTTGGGTAGCAACTTAGTTATGAGTTTTAGCAAGCACATGAGATTCACGTATTCCAGTGCACACCAAATTTGAACCACCAGGAGGCACCACTGTGGGATTAGCCATACAAGTCCCCAGAGTTCTGAACCAGAGAGATTCTATAAAACCCAATGGCAGAGCTGTAATGTACACGAATTAAAATAGACTGTCTAAACATGGAGCCTAATGTTAACAATTTTTCAAGTTTCCCAGGTACAGTGCAGTGGATTTTTTTTAATAGTCTTTCTATCTGGGGTCATATAACTCTCATCAATAAGTTGCTTTTGGTCTACCAGGGGGATTGGATAAAACCTGAGACCACTGAGTCTATTCTCACAGTGACCATCATGTTTCTGAGGCTCTGTGTCATTAAAGGAGGAGACTGCTTAGTATCTATATTGTGGTGAGGCTTGTCTGTTATCAGTCAAACATACAACACACTGCGACACAGCTTAACATTGCTGTTGTTATGTGCCACCAAGTTGAGTGAACTCATAGCAACCCTATGAACAACATTACTGAACCTTGCCCTATCTTGTGCCATCTCTCACCATCTCTACAACAGGAGAAAGATGGGCAATCTTCTGTGTGATTAACTGCCTCTGAAAACCTGCTGCAGGTTCAGCTATGAGTCTGTCCTGATTCGATGGTACACAAAAACAATTGTTTTAATCACCATGTCAATAAATTTGTTTGAGAGTCTTCCTATCTAAGTGCCGACCCACCACTTTTCCAAGTATGATGTCCTTCTCTCAGGCCAGGCCCTTTCTAAAAACATGTCCAAAGTATGTACTACTTAAGTTTCATCATCTTTGCCTCTCAGAAGGACACTTTCACACTTCTTCCAAGATAGACTTATTTGTTCTTTTGGTAGTCCATGAGACATTCAGTACTCTCCTCCTACACCACAGTTCAAATACAAATAGGGTACATGGCACCTTTGTGGAGGGGGACTACGCAAATAAGGCATGTGTTGTTCACCATTAAGTCAGAACTGACCCATAGTGGACCCTTGGGTGGGTTTCAGAGGCAGTTAATTGCACGGAAGAAGATTGCCCATCTTTCCTCTGCGGAACAGCTGGTAGATTCAAACCATGTGCCTTCGGGATTACAGTACAGCTTCTTGCCACTATGGAACTTTGATGAAGGGATTGCTCAGTTTTTTCATCCTGGTAGGTTTAAAGTGAGCTATCTCAGAAATACGAAAAGGGGATAGAAGTAGAGTGCACCCTTTACACTTAGAATCCCTGCACTGAGAACATTTTAGACCCAGGAAATAGAAAGGTGCTAACAAATGGCAGCATCAGAAGAAACATAACTAAGGGTCTGACAGAAGATAGTATATTTGGCTTCCTGGTATAAGGAAAAACAGTAACAGTGGGTTTTCTGACCCACAGAGAGAAAAAAAAACAACAGTACTTTCAGAGAGGAGACTTCCTGGCAGACCAGGATGCTTCCAGACACTTGTTAGTGCAGCCAGGTTTGTCAAATCAGGGAGCTAGAAAGCTAAGTGCCTTCCAGCCAACATTTATTGGTGGAATGTGGTGCCTCTGGGCACTTACTGGTAGAGCGATAGACTAGTAAAACTTTCCTAAGCAGAGCAGAGGCTGAACAGGTCCAAGAGGTCAGAGGAACTAGACTGGCCAGAGGGGTCAGAAGGCTGAGAGGCTGAGGACCTGGGAGTCAGGGAAAGGCTCATCTATGAGCTTTGATTGAGAAGCCATTCATAATCCTGAATTGTAAACCCATTATTTCCCTAATAAGGGGAGCTCTAGTCTATAGGGAATTGTGTTGCTAACTCAAGGGTCCTCCCTCTCAAGTGGTTCAAATCCACCAGTGGCTCCTTGGTGAGCAGTCTCCTTCCATGAGATTTACAGACTCAGAAACCCAGTGGAAGACCAGCTATAAGTTGGTTCTGAAGTGGTGGCAATATTTGATCTAACTTCCCTATAATCTTGAGTATTATTTTTGAGTTTTATTACACCATCACAATGAATTTATTGACCATTACAATGAATTCTTGAAATTAACAGAGAAGAATGTGTTGTAGGATGAAAAGCTGGTGTTAGAATTAGCAGAAAAATTGGCTCAATTTTGTACTGTTAAAGCTGAAAATTATTCTTCCCTTTCTTGCAAAGATAGATGAGACTTGATGTTGCATCATTTTTACAAGAGATGATTCCAACATAAATAGAGGAATTGAGAATAAATCACTATTTTATGTTTAAAAATTTTAAATATTAGCTATGCTTCTCTTCTACAAATTAAAAAAAACATTTTTATCCTGGTGTTTTAAATGTCTACAAGTAACAATAATAAGCAATATAATCGTAGTCTTAAATAAGGTTGAATGACTGATCCTATCACACAAAGAAACAAAATCAGAGACGGACTTATGAGCTTGGAAGAATCATTAACACTTTTTTGGTAGTAGACTGTTATTTATATAATCACAAGGTTACTAGTCACGTGAGTATTATATAGAGTTTACTAAGCTAAATAAACTGGCAGTTCAAAACCACCAGCTATTCCATGGGAGAACAATGGGCAATCTCTTCCAATGAAATTTATTCCCTTGAGAGTCAGTTATGAGTTGGTTCCAACTCTACAGTACACAGCAACAAGAAAAAGTATAATTTGCTATTGAATTACACTCAGTGATTCCTTGCTCTGTTCTGACCACTGCCTTCTGGTCGTTTTTGCGTAAGCACAGTCTACTGTTCTGGGATTCCCATTCTCCTCAGAGTTAGGCACAGTTTGGTATGATCCACACAGTCAGATGTCTTTTCATAGTCAATGAAACACAGATAGACATTCCTCTGGTACTCTTGCTTTCAGCCAAGATCAACCTAACATGAGCCATCATGTTACCACGGCCTCTCTGCTACCCAGCCTACACATCTGGCAGTTCTCTGCTGATGTGCTCCCCTTGTTTTTGGATAATTTTCAGCATTATTTTGCTTGCATATGATCTTAATGATATTGTTCAATAATTTCTGCACTATGTCAGGTCACCTTTCTGTGAAATGGAACAAATATGGATGTCTTCCAGTCAATGGGTCAAGTGGTTGTCCTCCAGATTTCTTGGCACAACTTGGTGAGCACATTCAGGGTAGCATCTATTTGTTGAAATATGTCAATTGATATTCCACCAATTTCTGGGGCTTTGGTTTTTTTGCCAAATCTTTCAGAGAAGCTTGAATTTCTTTCTTCATCACCTCAGGCTCTTGCTCATGCATCGGGAAGGTTGTACCCCAAGGCTCTGTTCTATCTTCATATGTTTTCAATCTATCTGTGGAGCAGATCATCTGGGAGGCTAGGCTCTATGAGGAGGATTTGGGCATCAGGATTGGAGGAATACCCATCAATAACTTGCATTATGCAGAGAAAAACTTCACTTGCTGAAACTGAAGAGGACTTGAAGTACTTGTTGCAGCAAGTCTAGTACTGCATCCTTAAATATGTATTAAAGATCAATATCAAGGAAAAAAAAGATTATCACCACTTGGCAGATTGGCAGCATCATGATAGAAGGTGAAGAGATTGAGATTGTTAACAGCTTCAGTTTGCTTGGTTCCACAATCAATACTCTCTTACCAGCAGCAGGAATTAAAAAGATGAATTGCATTGGGAAACTCTGCTGTCAGAGACCTCTCCAAAGTACTGAAGAGCAAAGATATTTGATTAGAGACTAGGGTCCACCTGATCCAGGTCATGGTCTTCACAATTACTTGCTATGTATCAGAAAACTGGACAATGACTAGGGATGACAAAAGGAGAATTGCTGCCTTTGAACTTTGGTGCTAGAAACAGTATTGAATATTCCATGGACTGCTAGGAGAACCAACAAGTTCACCCTGGAGAGGGTGCGACCAGGCTGCTCTTTGGAGGCAAGGATTCTGAAGCTTTATCTGACATACTTTGGGCATGTTACAAGGAGGGACCAGTCCTTGGAGAGGAACATCGTGTTTGGCAGGAAGGAGGAACAGCACAAGAGAGGAAGACCCTCGATGAGATGGATTGACTCAGTGACTGGGGTAATGGGTGTAGGTGTGTCGGAGACAATAAGGTTGGATCAGGATAGAGCACAATTCAGAGCTGTTATATATAAGGTCACCATGAGATGCAAATGACTCAACGACTTACAACAACAGCAACAACAACAACAACAGCAATTGAATTACAAGACTTTAAGTTATTTTACATTAATGAATTGGGGCATTAATAATTATGTCACAGTTTGAATACATCAAAAACATTATTATTTTTAATGAATCTACATTATTTATTCATCCTAAATATAAGAAAAGATACTTCAAGCCATTTGTTCCTCCTCAATAATATAGTGCCTTCTATAGAAAATCTTAGACACTTATCTCAAGAGTTAAGAGTTGTAAGTAATCCTGGTGGTATAATGGATTTTGTGTTGAGTTGCTAACCAAAAGTTTAGTGTTTTGCACCAATAATCTGCCATCATGTGGGAAAAAGATAGACAGCCTCTACATATAAATATTTACAACATCAGGTACCTGAAGGAAGATTACCATGAGTCACAGTGACTTGATGGCAGTGGGTAAGAACTGTCTATCTGAAGTACAAAGAGGACTTTATCCTTATGGTGACTTTTCACAACCAAGATTTTTATTTCCTTTTGTTAATAAAATATTTAAGCAAAGTTTTAGTGATGATGAAAGAAGTAAACCTATCACTGATTTGATCACCAGTTTCACCAGTTTTTATAGAAAGGAAAACTAAATAGAATAATGAGGCTTATACGAGAGACCAGTTTCTACAAAATTGAAT